CCTTGCTAAAACTTTAGTGATTGATTGGCTTTCCACCTGATATATGGAATGAAACATCTGTCGGTGAACATCTTTTAGTAAGCCCTTTACTGCACTGAATTGGATGCATGACAAAAGCCTTTCCTCTGTAGCCAAATTTAAGGTTTCAGCCTCTATAAGGTTGGAAAGAAGCCTATTAATTTCATGTAAGCATGTCATTCTCAATTCATTGCGTATTTCAGTTGGGTTGGTAAGTTAACACATCTCATTCATACTGAGTCCAAGTGTCAAGGAATAATGCCCAGTCATTGTCCATTGCATTGGGTTCAATAACAAGACAATCTGTTTTTTTTGGTGTTAGACATTTGCATCATGTTAGGGGTTCTAAGCGCAATAGTTACCCTTTGTAGCTCTATCATTTTTTGCATGAGTTGAGCAATCAAATCAAGGGTTCCGCCTGGTGCAGATACCATGTCTTATTTTGTTAAGATAGTTCCAAATATTCACCAGATCCTGTTCACAGCACCATGTAAAATAACCACAATAGGAATGGTAGTAGTAATTTTGAATTACTTTATTCTTGTACCAACAAGATACAAATGCAAAAATATGCTGGGTCTCTGGCCATTCAGCTGTTTATATAACACCAGAGGAGGTAACTTATGTCCACCAGTGTCTATTTGCGGAAGTCACCCATTATCCAATGAGACCTTCCATTTCTACTTTACAGCAATGAAGGAAAAATCATGAAAAAAATTATGTTCTCTGTTATTTGTTGAAAAAGCAAATCAAAATCGAGATTCAGTCTACTTTAGTAAGACCTTGAAATATAGTCATTTTTTTACACTTGCTTACTATCACTACCAATTATAGACTTTCTTATCCCAATAAAAGAACACTACTTTGGACAACAAGATTATTTTAAAATTCTTTGTGGGTGATTATGTATAAGATCCATGCTTCATTCTGATGTTATCCTTCTATTTAAGAAATACACCTTGAAAATTAGAAACAAACCACAATATATATATATCTCAAAAGGGTAAATGGATAAACAAAAAAAAATTTCATAGAAATACCCAAACAAGGAAAACACTTTTCAAACAGAAATAATAACAATTGAAAAAAAACTCAAAATAATAAAGAGACACATGGTGTCTTAGAGAAAAATTTCAGACAATAATAGAGAACATATAATTACCATGTCGCCTCTTTGACTGGCAGTTCCTAAAGAACATGGCAGTTTCCTTACTTCTAAAAGGTCACATGATAGCAAACTCTCAGAAACTATAGGGTGACCAAAAAACAGGAACTTTTTAACAATCCAATAAAACCAAGAGTGATGGAAGAAAAATATTTTATTCATAGTAATTGAAACCTTAAAACATGCCATTTAAGAAACAATGATGAAATTTTCATTTTTAAAAAATTATGTCCTGTAGATGGCGTTCTCCTGTACAAATGCATTCCTGAAATGTGCTGTTGAGATTCCTCATTGACTGCTGCAACATCTCTCCTGGGATACTGTGAATTTCATCTTGAATTCTAAATGGCGAAATGTTTACTTGCTCAAGGTCACTGTCTCGCAGTGTTGCCACTTGCTCATGTCTGGCAATACGAACTTCAACAATTCCCGTTTTTTTTGGTCGCCCTGTACCTTTTCTTTTCTTAGTCAATTCACTCCAAGCAAGGTAATAATGCCACTAAGATGCAAAGAATGGAAAAGAATGAGAAGACTCTAGAAGGTACTGAAAACCCAATCCTAAACAAGAAACAAGGGCTAAATCTCTCTTCTTGTTTAAAGTTAACAAAATGAAGAGTCCAACATGCAAGTTACAAATTGGAGTTACCAAAATCAAACAAGTACATCAATTTAAGTATCTGGAAAGTGTTTTATTTTTATATTTCAACCTGCATAGTTGCAGAGCTAGGTCAAATTAGGTTTTTTTTTAGTTGGCTTATCAAATATCAAGAATCGAATTTCCACTTAAAATTCAGCAAAACATACCTGAATCACCTATCATTGACCTACCAGGTATATTAAATATCCTAGATTGACTGAAGTAAAAGAAAATAGTAAATATGAATAAAAGATAATGATTAAATTTTTGTCAGATTAAAATAATTTTATTCAAGTTTGGAATGATAATGATTTCTCTCAAAATTATAAAAAACAGAAAAATAACATATTGCCCAATAGATTTTGATATAATAAAAACAATGTATTCAAGTGTTGAATCAATAATTAGAATTATAGTCAATATAAAACATTTATTTTGTCAGTTTTTAAAAATTAAGTCAAATAAGCAACAAAATAAACGGAATAAATTTGTTGAAATTTTGTAGTCACAGTAGTCACATAAGAACTAATACAAAGAATGAGTTCAATAGTCTGAAGAACTCTTGGAATGATAATGACTCTTCTTAAAATGATAGAAGATAGACATAGAATGGATTGACTGAAACATTGTGGTAACAACAAAAGCAATACAAAGAATGAGTTCAATAGTCTGAAGAACTCTTGGAATGATAATGACTCTTCTTAAAATGATAGAAGATAGACATAGAATGGATTGACTGAAACATTGTGGTAACAACAAAAGCAACACAAAGAATGAGTTCAATAGTCTGAAGAACTCTTGGAATGATAATGACTCTTCTTAAAATGATAGAAGATAGACATAGAATGGATTGACTGAAACATTGTGGTAACAACAAAAGCAATACAAAGAATGAGTTCAATAGTCTGAAGAACTCTTGGAATGATAATGACTCTCCTCAAAATTGTTCAGTCTCCTTAATAGTATTTTGTCTCATATTCTCTAACACTCATTAATCCCTTGCATCTTAATGGCTTTATTGCCTTGCTTGGGGTGAAAAACAAAAAAAAACTATAAGCTCTTTTGCAAATTCTGGTAGCAGACTCAAGGTTAACAGAATATTTGTTGTCCCCTTTATATATATATATATATATATATATATATATATATATATATATATATATGTATATACAAGTACAGGGTTGGTATAGATGAAATAAAATTCCAATAATCGAAAATACTATTGTTTAAGAAAGTGCTCAATACAAAGTTTAGCCACTAATATTTATTCACAAATTATAACATAAGCATTTTATAACATCACTACAAAAATAGCCATTTTGTTTCAACACTTATGGTGTCTTATCAAGTTATGGTGTTGACTGCAAAATAAAGAGTTTTTTTTTTTTTTAAATTCAAAACCAAATCAAACCCCCTCAATAGTTACATAACAATCTCCCCCTTATTGAGCGGGTTTCAAATAGTTTTGAAATTTCAAAAAAGAACTTGCAATCAACACCATCACTTGATATGACACCAAAAGTGTTGAAACAAAATGGCTTTTTTTGTAGTGATGTTATAACATGCTTATGTTATAATTCTTGAATATATATATATATATATATATATGACCTCAAACATTCAAATGAATTTAAAAATAAAAATCACCGCTCATTTCAAAAGTAAAAATATTTCCTAAATACGCTCCTTCATTCAATGTAGACCATGAAATAATCAGAAGAAATATTAATCTCACAAAATATTTTTTAACAGATTAGCTCATAAGATTAGTGGTTATTTTTATTTTTAATCGTAATCGCCCCAAGCAAGGCAGTAAAGCCACTAAGACACAAGGGAGCCAGGGTGTGGAAGAATTAGTAACAGAAACATTAATGATGAGCAGAAAAAGAAGAGAGTAATCAGGTGGACAGTAGATAGTGATTGACATTGCATTTAAATTTTTGCAGATTAAAGTTGGCTGGAAAGCATAGAGCTGGAAGGGAGTTCCACAAGTGAGAAGTGTGAGAGAAGAAACTGTTAGCATAGAATTTACAGCTACATCTAGCCAGCACAACTGTAAATTGGTAAGATCTTGATGCCAGTCTAGTGCTGTGCTTGAATTCAGAAACTTTGGATATCATAGCAAAGAGCTCATTTGAACAATTATGAAAGTATTTATAGAAAAGACATAGAAAGGCAACCTTACACTGGTGGAAAAGTAACTGGAGCTGAGCTGCCAGATCAGGATCAATAATATTGCAGATTCTTCTTTGGATCTTATCAAGGAGCTCAAGGTAAATATCAGAAGCACTGGACCATATGTGGCAGCAATATTCTAAGCATGGATGAATGGTAGACTTCTGTAAGAGATTCTGGAAAGAAAAATTGTCTTGCCTGACATAGTGGACTAACTTTCTTAGAAGCTGACCTAGCAATGGATTCAGTATAGTTTTTCCACTTCCTATCAGCAGAGATCGTGAGCCAAAGAAGGTGCAACAAGTCACATTCCTTAAGTTTTTATGAATGTTTTCAAAACCATTTTGTCGCAGACAATCCTAAATCATTGTTTTTGTTCACCTGTCTGTGAGCAAGATAACCTGCTGTTACTTGGGATAGAATTGGCATTTACTAAATTTTCTTATTGTCAGTGTTATAGACAAGCGTATGGTTGCAAGAAAGAAATACGACAACAGCAGAAATAGATTTACGTGGTTTATTTCAACAGGAACGTGAGGGTTTGGGACAGCTACCTTGTGGTATATGGTTCATAAGCTGGTTTTGGATCTAGGTCGATCACTCGTAGTAGTTCACACATGTTGACGGTGGTTGATGCTCTCCTGTTGCTGATCACTCAGTCTGACCATGACAGGTCTGTTTTGCTGTGGACTGACTGTTGAACTTCCGTGTGACCCCTTTTATAACGATTTTTATGGCTTAACAGGCTCGAAAAACAAAGCGAGTATAATTAGGAGGGAAGCATTTTTATTGGACGAAAAATAGAGCACTTTAATTATTATTTTATTTTTCGACCGGAGCACGTGTGTTGGAAACATTTGTAAAGAAAGTTAATGGTCATTTTGTGATGAGGCTTTGTCCTGTTTACATCCGGTTCTCGCTCTTGAGTATTTGCCTGTAAATCAGCTGAGATATGTCTTATTTTATTTTATAACATCAGGCTCAATTTAACACCTCTTCTTTCAGGTTTGGCTCAAAAGTGAGAGGCAAGAGAACAGGAATTATTTTTAATAATGAAATGGATGATTTCTCCACACCAAATACCACAAATGATTTTGGTATTCCAGCATCTCCTGCTAATTTCATAAAACCAGGAAAGAGACCCATGTCCTCAATGTGTCCATCTGTTTTGGTCAATGACAAAGATGGAGAGGTACAAATGATCATTGGGGCATCAGGTGGAAGCCACATTATAACATCAGCAGCTTTTGTAAGTAATACTTTTTTTAAAAAATCTGTCTTTCACAAGTAATATAAGTGTTGTAGAGTGATTTCACAGTGGAGGCTTGTATTCATACTAAGTTGGTCCTAAAATAGGTTCAACGTACAAAACGTTAGGAACTTCATATAATAAGTATAACGCAGAGAAATCTAGTTGCAGTCGCTGATACTTTAGTATCTGACTAACGGCCATCTGGCATCAACTGACTGACTGACCCACTCAGCCACTCCACGACTCTTACTACTCCTAATTATTATAGGTGGGAGAGTCTATTAACTATAGAATAGGTGTGTTCCACTATAACAATAAGTAATTTTATTATTAAACATTTATGATGACTTCACCCCATGCCATCTATCTAATGCAGTTTGTTCATATCTATTTATCTACCTTAAAATTTTTCATTTATATCTACATTCAAGACCTGCTCATATCTATCTATCTATCTATGTTCATGTTATAAGTTTGTTCATATCTATCTATCTATCTATCTGATTCTGTTCATATTTATCTATCTAATTCTGTTCATATCTATCTTAAAATTTTTCATATATATATTTATATCTACATTCAAGACCTGCTCATATCTATCTATCTATCTATCTATCTATCTATCTATCTATCTATGTTCATGTTCTAAGTTTGTTCATATCTATCTATCTATCTATCTGAGTCTGTTCATATCAATCTATCTAATTCTGTTCATATCTATCTATCTTAAAATTTTTCATATCTATATTTATATCTACATTCAAGATCTGCTCATATCTATTTATCTATCTCAGTCTGTTCATATTTATCTATCTAACTTAAAATTGTTCATATCTACATTAATATCTACATTCAAGGCCCTGTTCATATCTATAAATCTACCTACCAGTACCCCCCACTCCCTGTGTCTTAGTGGATTTATTGCCTTGCTTGAGGTGAAATGATAAAAATCACATTTAAAAAAACCCTGTCTGAAACTGGTATTGACCTATTTATCCCAGTAAGAACTTGCAATTCTAGGCTACTCACACCTAATAGTGAAAAATGACCCTCAAATTCACCATGGACTCAGCACTTACATAAAGGATGGTTTCTCATATGGCAGAGACCACCAAAATGAGGACCCTTATTCCTGTTCATGTGCTTTCGCATGGTACTTCACAATATCTCCTTCATTTTCCCCTCTCTATCATCCACAGGATGATGAAACTGCAATGTGTGACACAACTGTGAAAAGATTGATGATTATCCCCTCTAAATATATCTCAGCTTGTATTCATATTTTTGGCAACTTTAATATTCACAACATATTAACCACCAAGAGTGGTTAACTCACTTGACAAAAACTGATGAAGGAGGCAGATATTAGAAAGACTTCTTCATCATTTATGGACAAACACAAATCATTGATAAGTGCACTTGTATTCTTGATACAACAGGGTACCATACAAATCTCCTAAACCTCTTCTTCACAGCCTGCCCTGAAAAATGTTCCACTGAAGTGTTGCCTCCCCTGAGCATTTCTGTCCTGGGTATGACAATAAACTACATCTGTTTTAGAGGCGTTCAAATTAACAAGCCATTGTTTACCCCAGTTAGCAACAAACTGTAGGTGGTTTTTGACATCAGTCACCAATTTGACCTTATCAAACTGATTGGACTTACTAGCAAAACAGGAGTAAATGATTGTGTCATCAGCATAGTTACTAAGATGAGAGCTGATGCCATCAGTAAGGTCGTTAGTAAAAATTGATGATCTGCCAAAAGAGCACACACTGATCTTTTGTGAATATCTATGCAGATGTTACAATGGTATATAGGTACACCTCCTAAATTCTAGATGACCAGATTTTGGCAACTGATCTCTCCTCTGACTTAGCTTTAACAGCTCAGTGGAAGAAAAACTGGCTGGACACAATCAATACCTTGAAAACCAAACTATTAATGTTCTATCATTACTGAACAAATCCTGAATGTTTATTGCAATAAATAGATGTTCTCTCAAAGGAGGAAAAAGGGTTGGTTCTTTTTACCAATCTAGTAAGTATCTAACTCCTCCTGCTATCCTCTATAAAAGACAGATTAGACTGAAAATGGAGTACCTGCTGCCATATATGGGCAGGAGCTGCCCAGTCTTCACTTTCCAGTCTTGATAGAACCCAAAAGCATCTCTGCCTTTACAAGAGACAGATCAGGCTGAAAATGGAGTACTGCTGCCATATATGGGCAGGAGCTGCCCAGTCTTCACTTTCCAGTCTTGATAGAACCCAAAAGCATCTCTGCCTTTACAAGAGACAGATCAGGCTGAAAATGGAGTACTGCTGCCATATATGGACAGGAGCTGCCCAGTCTTCATTTTCGAGTCTTAATAGAGCCCAAAAGCATCTCTGCTATCCTCTGCCTTTACAAGAGCCAGGTCAGACCGAAAATGGTGTATTGCTGCCATATATGGGCAGGAGCTGTCCAGTCTTCACTTTCCAGTCTTGATAGAACCCAAAAGCATCTCTGCTATCCTCTGCCTTTACAAGAGCCAGGTCAGACCGAAAATGGTGTACTGCTGCCATATATGGGCAGGAGCTGCCCAGTCTTCACTTTCCAGTCTTGATAGAACCCAAAAGCATCTCTGCCTTTACAAGAGACAGATCAGGCTGAAAATGGAGTACTGCTGTCATATATAAACAGGAACTGCACAGTCTTTTTACATTCCAGTCTTGATAGAGTCCAAAAGCATCTCTGCTATCCTCTGTCTTTACAAGAGTCAGATCAGGCTGAAAATGGAGTACTGCTGCCATATATGAACAGGAGCTGCCCTTTCTTCAGTCATGAGTCCAAAAGTGTCTGCATGGCCTTGTGGGTGATGAATTATTTTCCACCCTACAACCTCTTTCCCACAGATGAAGCATTGCAAACCTTTCATTACTCTATCTCTACTTCCATAGATAAATGTTGTATCCTTAAAGAAGGTTACAAACAGACAAAGGTGGTCCTCGAGTGAAGGAACAGCAACACATGCATAGATGAAAGAGGTTTATTGTAAAAGAGAATACACTACTGAAAGACAGGGAATCAGCAGGCTAGTAATTCCTGAAGCAACAATACTTACCTTACCCACCTGCGTGGCAGGATGTGGCACAAGGTCGTTTTTAATGTGGGGTCAAAACTGAGCCCGTAGGCTCAAGCAAAAATTCCCCGTAGACCCCGTATACACAGGGTCAGGTAGCTATCTACCACCCCAGACGAGACTATGCTCTTCGGCAGAGAGTTTGACTAGCTTAGCTGGCGACAAATCTCCAACTAATTGCTGAAGCAAGGATATTTGCCAACTGCCCCACGCAGTCAGATGTGGCACAAGGCCAAATTTAACATGGGGTATCCGAGCCCATAGACTTGGGCAAAAATTATCTGTAGACCCCGTATACATGGGAGCCGGTAGCTGTCTACCAGCCCAGACGAGACTCTGCTCTTCGGCATAGCCTTGTCTGGGTTCCTCTCTGCCTGAACGCAGAGAGTTTGACTAGCTTAGCTGGAAACAACTAATTGCCGAAGCAAATCTCAAGTATATCCTGTGCACACTATATATAACTACTAATATAGTCAGTCCACAATAGGCAATAAGGAGAGTGGGACATTCCATTACAATAATAATATTCTGACAAGCTACATTCCTTAGTTCCCTCAACTGTAATCAGGGCTGGCCGTAGGGTTACTGGCATCCTGGTATTCCACCTGAACATTGGTGTCCTTACAAGTATAATTTTTTTAAATTTTCACAAGGAGAAAAACTGAAAGTGTAGAATAACAGCAGCTTATTCATTTTTCTGCTATGGTGGTTGATCACCACGCCATAACTGAAAGAATTAATAATCAAATTTGTAAAGATTTGACTCCACAAGAAATTTAATATTTTGGAGTTTTATTTATTATTTTCACATTTTTCCTTTTTGTTTGGAAAATCCCAAAACATGACATGGCAGCATGATGATACCCTTGGCCATGATGGCACCTTGGGTAACTGACTAGTTGCTAGTACCTTGAGCTGGCCTTAACTGCACATGTACAATTGAGGCAAACCACCTTCATATGACATTAATGAGCAATAAGTTCCACTTGAACAGCTTCTTCCTACAAAACACTACTTTTGTGGAAGTGACTCCCAAGAGGATGCTTTCCCAACCACCACAATCTTAACTTGTTTAAGTTTAGAGTTAACCATTATCTTTCCCATATATCATCATAAACTGCACCTATTACTCTTACCATGCCCTCACAACCTACTTCAGTAACTCTTTACCTTGAATAGCTCTTGGGCCTTATATAGGGTGAACAATGGTAAGGAAAAATCTATCTATCTATCTATCTATCTATCTATCTATCTAAGTCTGTTAGTATCTATATATCTATCTGTCAATATCAGTCTATTCATATCTATTTTGCTAGCTAGCTATATATTTATCTATATATATATATATATATGTATCTATCTATTTATAAATTCATGAATCATTCATACAAAAAACAAATATAGAGGTTAATGATTTAAATGGTGAGAATACTTTGTCGCAAACAATTTCAATAAGATACATCAACCCCGAACCTGTATATGAATGATATGATCCCCGTTTATAAATTCCAGTTGCATAAGGTCTTTTTAATTTTTTACAAGCTTTCGTCTGTTCCTACAGACATCATCAGGTATGGAAGTAGATTTTGTTCTTGTTTTTACTTCTCAGTAATAAGAGGACAACGAAAATAGAAGTATTCTTGCCATTTAAATCATTAACCTCTATATTTGTTTTTTGTATGAATGATTCATGAATTTATAAATTATATTTGCTCCTTTTAATTGAAATCTATCTATTTATCTATCTCAGTCTATTCATAATCTATCAATCTCAATTTATTCATATCTGTCTCATTTTGTTCATATCTAAGTCAATTCATATCTATCTATTCATCTATCTCAGTCTCTTAGTATCTATATATCTATCTCACATTATTCATATCTATCTCAGTCTCTTCATATCTATCGATCTCATTTTGTTCGTATCTATGTGCCGATGTATCTATCTCTGTTCATATCTATCTAGCTATCTAATTTTGTTCATATCTAAGTCAATTCATATCTATCTATCTATCTATCTATCTATCTATCTATCTATCTCAGTCTGTTACTGTCTATCTCTTTAATAATAGGTGTTCTCAAGTGTTCTAAGTTTCAAAACTATTTGTCTAATTAATTCCTCAGTGCATTAATGTTTCTTTTATCATGCTTGCTTTAATATATTTTCAAACTTTTAACATACACTCACTTCATTTAACTTGATTAGTTACTCTTGTCTTTTATCTAGGTGAGTGCTGAGTCACTGTGGCTCGGACGAAGCATTAATGAGAGCATCAGATATCCTCGTCTCCATCACCAACTGATTCCAGATCATATTGATGTTGAACATGGCTTTCCAAAGGTACAATATATACTATTTATATTTTAAATAATTACCTTTTCTAATAGTAGTAGTTTTTGGTGACTTTTTTTTTTTTGTTTACAGTTAGTAGATTTCATTTTTTTATCATTTTACTCCAATCAAGGTGATAAATCCACTAAGATGCAAGAGGTTACTGAGGATGAAAGAAACTGAGAAAATGTTGAAGAGAAACAGGGCATTAAAAAACCAGGATTCAAAGTGGCAGAAAATGATAATTGATGTTCCATTTAAATTTATAAAGATCGTAGTTTACAGGAAAGCTAGAAGCTGGAAGAGAGTTTCATAATTAAGAAGTGTGAGAGAAGAAACTATTAGCATACAGCTTACATCTATCAATTTCAACCGTAAAATGATGAGACCTAACTGCCAATCTGGTACTATGCTTAAATTCATGAAGGAAAGGAGTTCACAGTTGCCATGAAATTATTTCTAGAAAATGCACAGAGAAGCTACTTCATGGCAGTGAGAATATGATTGAAGTTAAGATGCCAGGTCAGAACCGATAACATTGCAGATTCTTCTTTGGATTTTCTCAGGAATCTCTAGATACATAGCAGAAGCACCCAACCAGATGTGGTAGCCATATTTGATGGTAGACTTATAAATGTGCAATACAGATTCTGATAAGAAAAATTGTCTCACAAGGCATAATGAATTGACTTAACAATTGATTAAATATAATAATTCCACTTTGTATCTGTGGAAAGTATTAGACCAAGAAGGTACATTGAATTCTATAATAGTGCTGTCTGATTTTTTAAATGAATCATTTGTTATGAATAATAAAGAGTAGTTTTGTTACTCCCCTCTTTGAGAGAGCTATTTCAGTTTACTGGTACTATAAAAGGACACTATACTATATTTCTGTTTACTGGGACTATAAAAGGACATTATATGCAAATCTTGTATTCTCAGTTGAATAAAGCTTTCTTAAAGCCTACACCTGTGTACTTTTGTCATTACAGCATTGTCCTTGTAATGACAAAAGGACACACGTGTAAGCTTTAAGAAAGCTTTATTCAACTGAGAATACAAGGTTCGTGTATAGTGTCTTTTTATAGTCCCAGTAAACAGAAATAGCTCACTCAAAGAGGAGAGTAACAAAATAAGGGGAGACCACTCTTGATTATTCATAGCAGTCCTTATTATTAATTTCTGACTAGTTTTTCCCCCATTTTAATTTTGTTTGTTCTTTATGCCTTGTACCAAGCAACATAATTGCTGTAAGGTCTTCCAAATTTTAACACGACTGATTCATTTTCTATATTTTCTACATTTTCTGCAGGTTATTTAAAGTCATAAAATATTTTTTAAGCCATTGCTGGTGGGGTGGGAGGAGAAGAGGTGAATTCATACCTGATCAGAATTGGATAAACAAACAAGAAATTATAATGTGGATATAAAGTGGGGAGATCAATTCTATATTAAAATCAACCCTCACTTTGTGGTCATGGTAGTTTCAATACATTTATATTCTAAAGAATGTAAATAAATCTAAAAGCCATACCTGTGTAGCTAATCAATATTTGAGTGATTGGTTTTTCAATGGATTATCAACACTTTTCAGGTTATTTAAAGCCAGAAAATATTATTAGATTGTAAAAAAAATTTGAGATAATAATGGTTTAGTGATACAGCTCTTACTAATTAAACCATAGTTAGAAGGAGAAGAGGTACATTGATACAATTCCCAAGGGTATTTGTGCATAAGGGAATATAATGAACCCAACTGGAATTGGAACTCAGCTCTCTGATTAACAATTCCAAGACATTATCCATTACACCACCTGCACATCATTACAGCACCTGGTATTCTCAAGTAGTCACTCATCCAGATCCTGATCAGGCTGAAGGTTGCTTAACTTCAATGATCATATGAGGACTGGTGTTTCAATGTGATATGGCTGCAAGCCAAAACATATTTTGGTGTGTAAGAAAAACTTTTTTTTTTTGTGAATGAATATACAATTAGCAAATTTTGGTGGGATTTTTCCAGGCAAAATTCTTACTATTTAACTTATAGCTGGGGAGAGAAGAGAGGAATTCATATATTCCCCAAGTGTATTTGCATGTAAGTGAATGTAAGCCATTTTTAACATGGAGCATTGTTATTTTTGTTTCATTTTAATTTGTTCATTGTTTACACCTTGTAATAGTAATAGTAGATATAATAGTGTTTGCATTTCTGGGATGAGGAGTTATCAGTGTTTACATATGAAATAATGTCCTCATCATTTTTCTTGATATAATGTTTCGCTCATTATGCTCTTTGGTCTTCTTTAGGTGTTGATCTGGATAATCTTCAGGAGATTTGGAGCTGAAAACTTTATTTAATCTATGTAGAATGTTCTCATTCAGCTGTCCATGTCGAGGGACAGCTTATCTTCCTCTTATATAGTATTGCTTGCTCTGTTTCTGTTAAATAATAGCAGACTATTATTTTTTTAGAGAAGTATATTTTGCTCTGACTTCCTAGTTTGACTTTTAAGGTCAGATAAAGGACAAAACAAAAGAAGTCTATTTTGATTGGCTGAACTAGCATGGGAATGATAGAGAAAGATTTTTCAGGAGTTAGTCGTATACGGCATACAATGTAGACATGTTTCTTTCATGACTGCGACATCTTCCAGTGGAGAGAGAGAGAGAGAGAGAGAGCGACCCCACTGTCTAGTTAGAAAATGTACACATCGACATGTTTAATAAAATAGCTAAGTTTAAAATTCTTTTGTTGAAGTTCTCTTTTATCTCCAAACCAAAACGACTAGTAATCTCTGGCTGTGAAAGAAGAAGAAGACAACTTTATGATCGAATTGACCCTGTTACCAAGACCCCTCCCAGCATGAGAATGAGAAAGAGTATACAACATTACCACTGAGTCTGTACTGCCCGACCCAGTGACTGAATCCATAATGACTATGTCATCAACTTCAACCCAAAAACTTGATCCTCTAAGCTTTTTTTTGTGGGACAATCATGAGTGGAAAACTTGGAGTCTTAAACCTAATGTTCTATCCCTGAAGGTTACCGAGACCAACAGATACCTGAAGAAGGTCGAAGCATTGAGATAATAACAACAAAGATGAGGATATCAGTCTGAATGTAAATAATGTCAATAATAATAGTTTTAAGTTGGCTCATTTTATGAGAGGAAGATTTGTCATCATATTATAATTCTGCTTGTTCCCTAGCTAGCACGATTGTTACACCCTGCCAATACCTCATAAATAATAGACTATTCTGTTTTGATTGTAACAAAAGACAGAAAAGTCATATCAGAGATGTTGTTTGGTTTCAGTGAGAAAAAGAAAGAAAGACAGAAAGAGAAAAAGAAAGAAAGTAGAGCTGTAATGGTCATATGTGTTTAACCTCAGCTTCAGTGAAATGGAAAAACTTATCAATTTTTAATCCTTTCATTTGTACCCCCTTACTTCTTTAAATAATGACCTTCATTCTTATTTATGACTGTTTTTTCAATATTTGCTTATAGCTGTTAAGCTCAATTATTTAACAATGCAAGAGGGGGATTTCCATGGATATTTGATAGTCATGGAACTTGCAAGAAGCTTATTTAGTCATTGAATATTATGATATATTCATTTAAGTATCATACATGATTCATATCTCTTTCAATTCATGAGTGTCTAGACAGAAGATTTTCCAGCAGTAGGTTGTCATTTCTTCTGTAGTAGACTAGTTGCTAATCAAGGCTATAGAACTCAGTCTGTCCTGTTATTTAACCTATAGCTTGAGGAAGAAGAGATGGATTCATACTATTTGCAAGTGTATTTGCACGTAAGTGAATGTAATGATCCTGACTGGAATTTGAACTGTATTCATTTCTATGCTAGGTCGGTTAAGGAGATTTTTGTGGCCGAGCATATGTGTTGATTCCTTAAGTTTATGAATTTTCTAATGATGTTCTTTGTCTATGATTTCAACCTGATCCCACACTGGGCGGTGATCTCCCTTTTCTCTCCATATGTGGTCAGCCATGCCTGATTTTTCCACTTCCCCTCATGTTACAGCTTTTTGGTGTTCTTGAAGCCTAAATGAATACAATATAGGAACCAGTAATAAGTAGTGCGAGAGAAAAGCAATAATAACAATAAAAATTGCAATATGAGCTCTGATAAAACTATACAATGAGAACAGCAAAAATCGCAATATGAGCACTAGTAAAAATGGTTGCTGAAGACATTAAGTTTATAAGTTCCAGAAATTCATATACAGATGTCCTTAAGGACACATAGCACAGTGACAGGCATTAGATCCAGTGACAGGACCCAAAGAGGTGTGAGTTCAATACCTGGTTAAGACAGTAGAGAGGTGAATGAACAGGAGATAACTGATAACTGACATCCATTAGACATGGCACATGGAACTAGAACAGTCTATCCTAGCGAGTGAAATAAAGGGTTCAGTTTGACATTCCAACCACCTGAAGAAGGCCAGAGCGTACAATGGCCGAAATGTGATAAATATGGCAACAAAAATGAGGACAATAGTCCGAATAATGTAAATAGTGTACGGATTCTCCTCCAGTTCCTATCCCACGAATGCAGGTGTTCCTCAAGGCTCCATCCTAGGCCCCACTCCTCTATTCCTTATGTACATAAATGACCTTCCTGATGCCATAAATTCCCAAGTTGGCATCTACGCGGATGACACCACAATTTATTCTTGCCTCAAAAACAAATCTAGTCTCGCTGACAAAACTCACCTGGCCGTGCGTCTCGAAAAGGACCTCCAATCGATTGTGAACTGGGGCATGAATTGGCTGGTCAACTTTAATGCTTCAAAAACAAAACTGCTCTTTATTAATCACCACAGAGATCCTTCCCTGCCCTCCATTAGAATGTCTGACGCTCAACTGCTCGAGAGCACCTCTCTGCGGCTGCTCGGTCTCACGTTGACTGCTGACCTGAGATGGAACAAATACATTGAGTCAATTGCTTCGTCCACCGCAAGGAAAGTTGGCTCCCTGTGCTGCGCCAGGAAATTTTTCTCCCCAGAATCGATCCTCCAGATCTACAAATCAACAATTCGCCCTTGCATGGAGTATTGCTGCCATATATGGTCTGGAGCCCCTTCTGTTTGCCTCGGGGTTCTTGATAGGCTCCAGAGGTGGATATGCAATATAATTGGCCCTGATCTGGCATCTCGTCTACAGTCACTTTCTCACAGATGCACCGTCGCCTCTCTCTGTCTGTTTTACAAATACCTTTATGGCAATTGCTCCGAGGAGCTGCATTCGCTGGTTCCCAGACTTCATGAGTTCAATTGCCCTACGAGGCTGGCATCCCGCTCTCACCCCTTCACTGTCGAAACTCCTAAATGTAGCCGTCTCTTCTACTCCAATAGCTTCATGTATTGCACCTCTCGCCTGTGGAACTCCCTCCCTTATTCTATTTTCCCTGAGAGCGATATTCTCCTGCTATTCAAATGTAATGTCAATCGACATCTCCAGTTGCCTTGATCTATCCACTACTCTTCTCCTCATCCTTTCCTCTATCACTCCTATCTGATCTTGCTCCAAATTTTCTGTAACCCCTTGCATCCTAGTGGCTTCCTGCCTTGCTTGGGGTGAAATGCTTAAAAAAAAAACAAAAAAAAAACATAATACCTCATCTCAGAAATATAGAGAGATACTGAGGTTTTATTCTGTTTTAGTTTTCTTTTCGCATCTTCTTTTTTTATCATTTTATCAACAATCTGACTGCTTTTACCAAATGTCTGTCAAATAAATAACATCAACAAACTATTATGGACATCTAGCAAGATTGTATCTATACCATTTAAAAAACATCCACAGCATTGAAGAGATGGCAAAGTTTCCAGCTCCTGTACTTTTTGCTAGAACTGAGAACTAAACAGAAGATGTAGTGATAGAAAAGAAATAATGAGACCAAAGTTTTAGCATCAGTAAAAATAGATTAAAATTCAGAATTGCTAGGTCATGTTTCCATGAACCAATCAGAAACAGTTCCAACAAGGATATGACAGCATAGCCTGGCAAAATAATCAGAAATGGTCCCAACAAGGATACATGAGACAAGATCTTTTCCCAATCAGGATATATGTTCATAGCTCATGTACCAATCAGAAGCCAAGTTGTAATTTCTAAATAGATTTCTTTGTTTCACCAGCATACTTATACAGGATACTTCAGAAATCAAATCAGAATCAGTTAATTTTATTGATTCTTTGATGCTGTTGTCATAGTAACATCCTACATAGAAACACACACACACACACGTATATGACCTTTTTGGCCAACACGTTGAAAGCTTCCTCACCAATGGGATCCAAACGCTACAACACTGATGGAAGAAGTCATTGATTGATTATTTGATTTGATTGTTTAATGGCATATCAACACCTTATGGGTCATTTGATGCGGAAATTTAATTTTCTTAAGAGCTTTGATTTGATTTGATTGTTTAATGGCATATCAACACCTTATGGGTCATTTGATGCGGAAATTTAATTTTCTTAAGAGCTTTGATTTGATTTGGTTGTTTAATGGCATATTGACTCCTTATGGGTCATTTGATGCAGAAATTTAATTTTCTTAAGAGCTTTGATTTGATTTGATTGTTTAATGGCATATTGACTCCTTATGGGTCATTTGATGCTGAAATTTACTTTTCTTGGGAGCTTTGAATTAATTTGATAAATTTACTATAAACAGATAATGTTGGTAATTTTTTACTATAAAAATGTATATTTATACTTTCATAGTGTTATGATTTTTGTTCAGGTGTTCACTATTAGCCCATAGCTGGGACCCTAACAAGTGCTACCACCTCAGATAGGTTGGGGTCACTTGCTGAAAATTTTTGGGGGATGTGGGGACAATGTCGCGCAGGATCTATGATTTGATTTAATTTGATTGTTTAATGGCATATCAACTCCTTATGGGTTATTTAATGCTGAAATTTAATTTTGTTAAGAGTTTTGATTTGATTTGATTGTTTAATGGCATATCAACACCTTATGGGTCATTTGATGCTGAAATATCAACTCCTTATGGGTTATTTAATGCTGAAATTTAATTTTCTTGAGAGTTTTGCTTTGATTTGATTGTTTAATGGCATATCAACTCCTTATGGGTCATTTAACACTGAAATTTAATTTTCTTGAGAGCTTTGATTGTTTAATCGCATATTAACTCTTTATGGGTCATTTAATGCCGTAATTTTATTTTCTTGAGAGTTTTGAAGTAATTTCATAACTTTACTATAAATATGTATTGCTGGTAATTCTTTTTAATATAAAAATGTATTGCTGGTATTTTTACTATAAAATTGTATTTTTATACTTTCATATTTTTTTGAATTTTTGTTTGGGGGTTTACTATTTGCCCATAGCTGGGACCCTAACAGGTACTACTACCTTGGGTCAGGGTGGACTTATGAACAACAACAATTAAGAGGTGGTTCCATGCTCCTCAAAACCTTCAATCTCTCGATAAGAGGCCTTGCTGCAAGATGTAGTTTATCATCATACCCAGGACTAGATGGAAAAAATGTGTGGGCCGTAAGGGGGACTATGTAGAAAATAAACTTTATTTAGTCACATTCCATGAGAGTATCTTTGCCAGCCTATAAACTATTCAGTTGAATCTCATACATCTAGTAGACTGTGGTATTGTGACACTTAAGGAAGATGCTGGGAAACAAAAAGGGATGCAGGTTCAAGCTCTACTGGAGAGCAAGTTTCGAACTTGCATCCTCCATTTTAGGGGTGAAAACACTGCTGGGGAGTACATTTTCTTTATTCAGTCTCTTGAATACACAGGCTGGTAGATGTAATTCACATGGTTTAAAAACACAAAGCAATGTGTCCCCCCCACACACATTTTAGCATCCAGTAGATGTAATTTACATGGTTTTAAAAAAGAAGCGTGGCTTTTTTTATTTTGTGGTACAATGGCTGAAAAATGTTTCCAACAAAACAATACAGGACAAAGGAAAATGCACAACAGGTTGAAATTTTTTCAGGCACTGTGTCACAAAATAAAATAAAAATGGGCAGGGGAGAGGGTAAATTCTTCCTAATCTTTTGTTTAAGATAGTATGAAAAGTCAGCATCTTCATTATATCATTATTTTATCTTCTTTTTACAAGTTTTTTTTTTTTTTTTACACCCCGAGCAAGGCGTGAAGCTATTAGGATGCAGGGGGTTACAGAAGATTTGGAGCGAGAGCAGATAGGATTGATAGAAGAAAGGATGAGGAGAGGGATAATGGATAGATCAAGGTAACTGGAGATGTCGATTGACATTACATTTGAATAGTTGGAGATTATAGCTCTCAAGGAAACAGTAATTGGGAAGGGTGTTCCACAGGCGAGAGGTGCGAGGTATGAAGCTATTGGAGTAGAAGAGACAGCTACATTTAAAAGTTTCTACAGTGTAAGGGTGGGAGCAGGATGCCAGCCTCATAGGGCGCTTGAATTCATGAAGTCTGGGAACCAGTGAAAGCAGTTCATTGGAGCAATTACCATGAAAGTATTTGTAGAAAAGACAGAGAGAGGTGACAGCGCGTCTGTGAGAGAGTGACTGTAGACGAGATGCCAGATCAGGGCCAATTATATTACATATCCGTCTCTGGATTTTGTCAAGAACTCCGAGGTAAACAGAAGGTGCCCCAGACCATATATGGCAGCAATACTCCATGCAAGGGCGAATAGTTGATTTGTACATTTGAAGTATTGATTCCAGGGAGAAAAATTTCCTGGCGCGGCACAGAGAGCCAACTTTCCTCGCGGTGGAAGAAGCAATTGCTATCCATTTTAATTGTTGCCGGTGTTGGAAGATATGCGGTTTTTGTTATTTGATAAAGTTCTTTGTTTGTGATTTTCTAGCACCAGGTTAGAAGATCCGGTGAAGGGTTCTCTTGTTTAAGACTTAGAGGATTTTCTTGCCTGAAGCCATTTTTAATCAGTGATTCAAGAAAATGGTTGTATATGGATAATAGTTTAGACATTTCTGGACAAGTTAAACATCACCCACAAGGTAGCATAAACACTTCTGAACTGTCATATTATTAGATAAAAACCTAATAATAGATTCCAGCTGATATTATTAATAATGTTAAGCTATTACTTCTACAGTTATTAGGCTTTCATCTATATAAAAATTATAATATTAGTAGGAATATTTGAATATGATCTGAGTCTTTACCTTACAGATAGGTTGATTTGAATTTCTTAAATGAAACATTGTGAATTATTAATCTTTGATTTGCTTTTATTACAATTCTTAGGATCTATTCTTTATTTCCAATACACACTGCTTGCTAATAATTGTGGAATATTGGAAACTTTTCAAATTATGTTAATGGCAAGATTAGCTGTTTCCTTATAAGGAAACTTTTGGCATTCATTGAACAAACAGCATGACTGTTGGTTTAAATTTATAAAATCTTTTTCTTAAAACAGTTTTTCAAGTCCACTAGCTGTTATTGCTCTTTCTAGTACTGATGGGTGTTTCCTTCCTAACCTTTTGTTTGAAGTTGTGTAGAATGTCAACATCTTGATTATGTCATTATTTTCTCTTCTCAAGTCCACTAGCTGTTATTGCTCTTTCCGGTACTGATGGGGGTTGCCTTCCTAACCTTTTGTTTGAAGTTGTGTAGAACGTCAACATCTTGATTATGTCATTATTTTCTCTTCTCAAGTCCACTAGCTGTTATTGCTCTTTCCAGTACTGATGGGAGTTTCCTTCCTAACCTTTTGTTTGAAGTTGTGTAGAACGTCAACATCTTGATTATGTCATTATTTTCTCTTCTAAAGTCCACTAGCTGTTATTGCTCTTTCCAGTACTGATGGGGGTTGCCTTCCTAACCTTTTATTTAAGGTAATATGGAAAGTCAACATCTTCATTATATCATTATTTTTCCCTTCTAGTTACACATGCTATTCATTTTAGTTGTTGCAGCTGTTGGAAGTTTTCAAGAGATGTGGTTTTCATTATTTGGTAAAGGTCTTTGTAATTTTGTAGCACCCAGTGTAGAAGATCTAGTGAAGGGTTCTCTTCTTTAAGACCTAGAGGATTTGTTTACCTGAGGCCATTTTTAATCAATAATCCGAGAAAATGTTTATTTATAGCTGATAGTTTAGACATTTCTTAATGAGTTGGATGCCATGCATGACATCAGTATGAGAGTTTTATGATAAAAACAATAAGGATAAGAATATTTATGCATTTAATTCAAGGGAGAGTTTATTATAATTGTTTTTTTGTTTTTCTTTCAGGAAATTGTTGACGGACTCAAAGCAAGAGGGCACAAGATTAAAAATGTAGCTAAAGCAGGTTCTAGAGTCCAAGGAATTCTACGAAAATCAGATTTAATATATGCAAGTGCAGATTATCGAAAAGAAGGCACTGTAGCTGGATGGTAGTTTTTCAATTTTTTGTTATCAGAAAGGGATTATTTTTATAGGCTTTTGTTTTTTTTTTTAAATCCAAGTTGATTAATTTTTTTTAAATTTTTATTCAAATTGATCAATTTTTGAAATTTTTTATTCAAATTGACCAACTTTTAAAATATTTTATTAAAGTTGATCAATTTTGAAATATTTTATTTAAATTGACCGACTTTTAAAATATTTTATTAAAGTTGATCAATTTTGCAATTTTTTATTCAAATTGACCAACTTTTAAAATATTTTATTAAAGTTGATCAATTTTGCAATTTTTTATTCAAATTGACCAACTTTTAAAATATTTTATTAAAGTTGATCAATTTTTGAAATTTTTTATTCAAATTGACCAACTTTTAAAATATTTTATTCAAATTGACCAAATTTTAAAATATTTTATTAAAGTTGATCATTTTTTGAAATTTTTTATTCAAATTGACCAACTTTTAAAATATTTTATTAAAGTTAATCAATTTTGAAATATTTTTTTATCCAAGTTGACCATTTTTCTAAAATCTTATATTCAAGTTGATCAATTTTTTTATTTTTTTTATTAAAGTTGATCAATTTTGAAATTTTTTTAAAGATGTTTTAAATGTTCAATTTTGTAAATTTTTAATTCAAGTTGATCTTTTTTTTTATACAAAATATGAGTTGAAATTAATTTGAAAACACTTAACATTTGTCTTTCAATATGTGTTACAACAATTTCAAATTGACTCACCCAAATTGACTCACCCATTACAACTACAACAAAGTGGTTAAACTGCTGATCATTTTCATAAACAGAAGCAGTAGCGAGCTAATGTCAAAGATGCTGTTACAACACCCACAGAGTCAACCAAAAGTTTATACTGCAACTCTACTAAGTGGACCTATAACAAATTTTATTAGTTAATAGAATAAAATAATTAAAAATAACAATTAATTAAAAAGTGTGAATAAATAAATATTAAATAACATAAGTTTGTCTTATACACTTACTTATGGGAAAAATGTATTAAACAAAAGCCAGATGGTTTATTAAAAATTGTTTTATTTGTGTGGGAAGGCTTTTTATTTAGAATTTGCTCTAAAAAGAACCACTAGAAATAATTGTCATCTGTGGACTGTTAGGGATTCATTTTTTTTCAAATTTAGAAAAATATATTCACCTTGTATTTTTTATCCAATGAAAAGTGTGTCTTATGCCCTTGTAAAGTTAAAATTGATATTTTTTGAGCCTTGCTTGAGAGTATATAAGAACACGGGTTAGTGGATAACATGGAAAGGACAAAGCTTGCTTCCCTGTGCGAAAGTTGCCCACAAAGCAAAGTGCAGAAAGGTTTTGGCATTCTTAAAAA